GCCAGGAGCACACACATTGAGTGTTTAGTGTTCCATGAATTCACACCTTGTGAGCTCTTGCCATGCAGGACATCTGCCTTCAGACTCTGCTGGTGAATAGGTGTTGTGTGCAATGCAACTGCCCTGAGTTTACTAAAAGAATATGTGAGGTGTGTAAAACATGGCACAGTAGTTTATTGCCTTGAAGTCATTATAGTGTGGATAGCATTTGGATATATAAACACCCACAAAGTGGGTCCTTTTTTTTTGAAAATAAAAAAGTATGTCCTTTTTTTTTTGAAAATAAAAAATTGCTGCACATAAGAGACATGATGGAAGATGTGTACAGTCTATACAATCTTCTAGCAGTAGATTGAGACCAGTGGCACTTCCCCGAAAAAATAAATTACCCGAAATTTGCAGCACATTCATATTCAATTTCATCACAGCAGATGCTCATTAGTATGTTGTTATTAATTGGTATTCACTTTAGGTTTTGTTTAAAATGAAGATAATAATTAGGTTTTAATTACTGCATCTTTCTAAGGGGGGGAGGGGAGGAAATGCCTCTCAAAGCACTGAAGTATTTCCTGTATGCTTTGCTCCATTACATCTAAGCCTTGAAAGAGTCCCTAAGACACATTTTTCTGCCAAGAGACTTCTTTTCTGTTTCCTTTTATTTCTTTCCTGTTTTTAAAATATTAAGGATTTGTTTGATGGACACACCAAATCATACTATAGTAGTAAGAGCCACTGTTCTTTTTAATCAAAATTATCAAAAAAGCTTTTCACAAAAGTAACTCTCTCAAGCAGCTGATTAATGAAGTGGTGCCACTGTTTTGTATTATAATTAATTGAAGTAATACAAATAACTTCTGTAGCCTGTGGAAATTACCTCTTTTGCAAAGCAGTCTATTAGAGTTAGAAAACTAAATGGTAGATTTTTTTTTTTTGTGGATTTTATTTAATTTCTTACTGCCTTTATCATCCTTAAAACCATGGGTCACACAACAGTAAACAAAGAATACACCATAGGGAGGGCTTGAAGAAATGTGAGAGTCAGGTGCAGAAGAAAGCAAAAGGGCAGAAAAAGTGAGGATGCAGAAAAGACTTAAAGGGTTATGAGTGTGGTGGGACTATAGAGAAGTATAAGAATTTGGGAGATGCCAGAGAATACATGAAAGACTGCAGAGGAATATGGGTAATCTAAAGAGTTTCGAAGAGGCATTGACCATCATGTATTTGGTTAATGCAGGAGTTCACAGTGGTTTGTGCAGCTAATGACAGGACAAGGGGGAACAATTTTAGCAGAGGGTATATTTAGATTAGGTGTTCTGAGGAGATTCTTTTCTGTGAGGGTTGTAGGCACTGGAATAAGCTGCTCAGGGAAGCTGTGGATCCCCCATCCCCTGGAATTATTGCAGGCCAGTTTGGGTGGGGCTTTGAGCAACCTTGTGGCAGCAGACTAGTGGAAGCTGTCCCTGCCCATTGCGGGGGAGGGGGTGTGAAATTAGGTGATCTTTAGATGCCTTCCAACCCAAACTGTTCTAAGATTCTAAAATTAATCTAAATGAGGACATCTAGTTGTCTGACCTGTTAAATGCACGCATTCAAGATACGGAGATTTTGTGTGCTGGTTAAAAGGTGTTTTGTGGAATAGCACTGCATCCAGATGAGTAAAACATCAGCACTAGAATCACTAGATGAGTCTTCTGCTGCCTTGCTGTTGTGAGTTTCCATCAGCTTTTCCTTCTGTCTTTCCCTTTCCTTTCCTGATTTTTTACCTCATTTCTCTAGGTTGTTGTGCTGCCCTTCAGCAGCCCACTCGGCTGCCCTCTTAACAGGAGGAGGAGAATGAGGCATCCCAACTGAAGTTCCTTGAGATGTAATTTAAACTAACCAGCATTGAGGGAGAAGCCTTCTATTTTCAACACCTTAATGCAGCTGCCACCAAACTTCCCTAAATAACAGAAAAGCTGGTGAGAGATTGTACATCTTGATTTCTCCTAAGCGCTGTGTTTAGGGTAGGAAGATGGCTGCCAATAGTTAAGTCTTTCCAGGGCCCCTTATTTTCTGGAAGTTGAGCTTTTGTAGTTCTAAAAAAAGAGGAGGAAGGGTGGACACTGGCTATTTTTTTACTCTGTCTTTCCAGATTAAAAAAAACAGTTTGTGTTCTTGCATCTTGTTACAGAATGGTCACTTTCCTCTGAAAAAATCCTTACTCCTTGACTAAACTGTTATGGAGTGAGGGAGCTGTCTGGTATGGTTGGAGTGAGTGTGCAAGGGGACCTTGCACTGGTTTTTAGGCATTTGTGAGACAGGTAAAGAGATGGTGCTACCCTTCAGTCCAGTGCCTTGTTCAAACACCAGCAGCTGCAGGGTCAGGCAAGTGCTGAGCCAGACATTGCGTTCGAGCAGGCACCACTGTCCTCCAGGAGCTCCTGGGAAGTCTCCTTTCCTTAGGTGTGTCCTGGTGGATGTTGTCTGGTGTGTGTGGTAGCTGAGCAAGATCATTTTCATGACTGAGTGCTTCATGCTTAGTCATGGGAAAATTTGCTTTTCCACTGTTCATAATTCACCAGTTCTTTTAAGACACCATTGGTTTCCTGCGTAATCTTGTGTTATCTTAAATTCTTCCTGGGAAGGAAGGAGATTTGGAGATTTGCAGTTGGCCTCATGATGCTACAGGAAACAGTTCTACAACCATTTCAAACCTAGATTTAAATTAATATTTTGTTGGCTAAATACAATGGTTTATTTTTAATACGTCTGTTATTTTTATATTAGAAGCCTAATTTTTCTGTCAGAGAAGTGAACAACTGTGAATGAAATATATACTCTTTGTTCCTTCATCTGTTGATTGTGGTTTTAAATGCAATTTAAAAAAAATAGTTGGTTAGTTGGTTGCATGAAAAGAACAAAATGTTTTTCCATGAATGGAAGACCTGAAAAAGCAGACTTACCTGCAGAAGTTAGTTCTTAATGAAATAAAGAAATCAAACATCATGTAGTAAATAAAGACTTCAAAATAGAGTTTTATTTTCATTTGCTCACCATTCTTTCATGGGAAGAAAGAATGCATAAATGGTGATACAAATTTAGCTCCAGTTCTTCCTGTAGAAGAGTTGTTGGGTTTTCTTTACACAAAAGAATGGACATCAAAATCAAATATTATTTGGGTTTAAAGTTTTAGATGTTGGGTTTTTTTCCCTTTTTTAAACCTACAGGTTGTCAGATATTAATAAAATGTAAGAAGTTGTGATATAAAGAGTTCTTAAAGTTCTTTCAAATTTAAGGTGCCTTGTCCTTGTATTCATAAATATGCCATGATATTAATACTTAATTGCATGAAAATCTTGAAATGTTTTGGTTTTTACCAGTTACTAAATGTAAGATACTAGGAAGCTAAAGGGAAGGAGATACGAGGATATTATCAATTAAAAAAAATTGTGTGTGTGTATATATATCTGCCTATGTGTGCATGTATACATTTTTACATACTGATTTTTGTACTTTCTTTATCCATTTAAGCAGTGACTTTCAATTAGCCTGCCTGCTAATATCAGGTCACGAAACTCTATAGCTGATGCTTTATTCTTTCATGTGAGTTGTCATTCGTTTGCTTCAGTTGGCTGGCAAAGGTTGTTGTATATCCATTACCAGCAACACAGCACTTTGCATTTCTGAATTGACAAGCAGCTATATTGACCTAGCGCTTATTATGGGTCAACAGCTGCGTTAACCGACGGAAGGACTGAGGGGCAATTAAAATGAATTGGCAAAAATATATCTTCCTAATTTACTCCAATTTGTTATTTATGCTAACATTGTATGGCTTCTATGGTGACACTAAACAGAATGGACCCAATAATGGCAATTAACATAAAAATATAATGGCTAATCAAATTGACAGCAACTGTTTCTCATCATCTCGACACACAATACATTATCAAAACAAACTATTATGAAGGAGGTAATTTCAGTGTTCTATTCAACCTGCTTCATGTGTGCAGTCAGGGAGATGTGTACCAGCAATTACAGCTGAATCTAAAAAACTAAACAAATAACTTAATCGCTGTCGTCCTCCTTTTTTCTTCTTCAGGAAGCAGTAATCAGGATTTACTAAAAATAACTGGTGTATAATAGTATAATGATGATGCATATCGTAGAATAGCTAATAAGGAATAAAATATGCTTCTGTGTGTCTTTTTTTAAAATAGGTTCACATGAAGTGGAAAAAAACTATACTGTTAAAATATATAAAAAATAACTAAGCAGTAGTAATAGTTGTCAGATGTCTCAACATGACTTGCTTAATAGTTATAGATACTTATTGCATGTCAATAGAAGTGTAAAATCAGCTGAATGTAGTAGCAAAACTTAGCTTGAATGGGCAGAAGACTGAAAAGCTAAGTTAAAGTAGAATTCCCTTAAGTATAAATAGTTTACCAGTTGCTCTTCCACTGCCTTTTCAGGATCATTTTTACTGGTATGCTGTGTGGCAATTTTCCATTGGTTTAACCACATCCTGTTTTATAGCTGATGAACAAAATCTTTGAGGGTTTGTATATGTCTGTGTCTCCACAAAATATATTAAAATGGATGATACTTCCAAATTTGATGCTGTTAAAACGATGTTATTCTTTGTAATGAACAATCCCTCGAACCATTGTTGGCCAATGTCTAAAATTCAGTAATTTCCATTTTCTTGCTAAGGCATCATTGTGATACGTGTATCTATAAGAATGGATAAATGTATTTTAAGTTTCTGTAAGAACTTAGTAAGTTTAGTTGATTCATATGAGTGCTTGGTGTGAATTGTGAGGTAAGTGTAGAGGTACAATAAGGACACTTTGTAGCATAACACTAATAATAATTCCAAAAGCTGACGTGAATAGAACATATAAACTGTTGGAAGAAAACCAAATAGAAGTAATCACTTTTTAATAGTGGACTTAGAAATGGGTGCAAGAGATGCACTTTTGGGTTGAGTTTTTAATTGCTGTCTTCTTACATTACAGTATTCTGATAAGGCCCTCTACACTCAGCTCTGCTTCTACCGATACATTTTTGATGTGGACTATGCAATGGATAAAGTGGTTACTGAGGAAGAAAAAGGTATGTTTAAATTTTTTATTAGTTAACTATGGTTTAGTAGCAATTTGCATGCTAGACACTAGACCTACTGTACTCTTCAAATCTGAACTATGAGGCTGTAATCTAGAACATAAAATAGAATAAAGTATGAATTTATGACTCCCCTGTAAAGCGAGGAATGTGTTCAGTCAGAATTCACCACTTTAGGAATGTGTTATATGCCCCCTTTCTGCTTTTGAAGTGACTGTGTTTTGGAAAATGTGCTTTTCTTCCATGTTACACCCTTAGAGAAATGTCTTTGCTTGAAGGACATGTTACCTTCAGTTACTAGATTAATTAAAATATGTACATAATTAAAACTTATATTCAACTGTTAGTGTTGAAGAGACACTTTTTATCAGGGAGAAAAATGAGGGCACAAGAAAAGCAGTAATGGAAATTGTCTGCAAACTTCTCTTAAATAAAATACAGATTAACCTGATCTTAGGGAGATTTTTTTTGTCTTCTGCCAGTTACAATAACATTTCTGAACTAAAACATTTCTAAGCTGTAACGGATCAATGGGTTTTGTGCAGCTAAGTGATTTTCAAGCTGACAGAAGAACATTTCTGAGAGTGGGCTAATGCTTAGAATTCAGAAAAAAGACGTGTTTGGGTCCCACCACTTGAAGCATGATGTCCAGAGAGAGCACTGGACTGTGTCCTCTGTGGATCTGGAGATGCCTGTGAGGAAAAGTGCTGCTGTTGGGACTGTCTGTGTTCTGATGGCTGCTCTGTTGTCAAAATCATTCCCACCCCTGCCCTACCCTGCAGTTAAGTTACTGGGTGATGATAAGAGATTAAATAAATCTCAGTCTTTCTAAATGTTATTTTGATAAGCCACGTATGGAAATGAGCTGAAACTGCTCAAATAAGCAAACAGGCTGCTTTTGGCCTGTTGTACTTATTCTTCTTGCAGAGGTACTTGTTTCCTCTCCTGATCACTCTAAGTCAGTGAACTCACGCTGATGCTTGTATTTCACAGTTGCTTTGTACATCCAAGGAAGTCACAGTGTGTAGCCATGTTAGTGTACTGAAGGAATGCTATGGAGTGGATGCTGCTGATGGCTGCAACCAAGCTGTGTGTAGATCTCTCATCCAGTATAAGGGCATAAGACTAGAAATCATCAGTAGAGATCACTTCATGGGTGGTCACATCCAATTCCCTGCTGCAGCATTCCACTGCATTTTTCAGGACTGCAAGTTTTTGGAACTTCGTTAGGAAACCTGTGAGTGGTGGTTCTCCTTTTGCTGCAGTTCCAAAGTGTGTTTCAGCCTATCGATCTGTGATGACTACAATTTTCATGTTCTAACTTGTTTGTGGCTATTTTATGGCCATTGAGTAGAAGTTTATTTGTTTTACTTCCCTGATGTTCTCTGCTATGCTTTTGAAAGCAGTAATGACATCTCTGTTTTTGTTTTGCAACTAAGGCAGAGGCACACTTAGCTTTTTTTAAGAAGAGTTGGTCTCTGCTGTATGAGTCTTCCTCTTAGCACCTTTGTGTGCAGTCTTTTCTAGGTTGAATTAATCTTTGGAGTATAAAAATCTAGAAATTATGTAGTATTTCAGATAGTATTTCTCCAGTGTCTTGTACACTGGGCCTGTATATTTGCTGGAATTAAATCTTCTGGTGCTTTCTTGAGCCACCTACATCCTTTTCATAGCTGTTCATATCATCAGCTTGTACTGAAGTAATGATAGAAAAACCTCCTGAGGTTTGAGAGGGTTTCTTTTCCTCCTGTCATTTCAGAATCATGGGTTTATTCATATCTCAGGCTCATGCCACTTTTTTTACTCAATTTTCCTGGTTTCATTAATTTTTGACTGCTTAATCTCATTTGTAATATTAGACTTCAAGGTTAATAAATTCTCTCTGAAAAATAGTATGGTGGCTTCTGAATCCATGTAATTTACCACCTTCTGCTTTAATGGGAGAATGTTTCTTGGACCCTGACCGCTAAGTTCAATAAAATTAGTTTTCAGAGTAATTCTTAAGGAATTGTAAGAATTCTAGTAGGACTTCTTCTCTTGTAAAGTTAACCTTTCAGCATGGTGTATTTTTCTCTTTTTCGTAGCTGTTTGAAAATTATTCTATTATCTTCTTCAGCGAGCCAGTGATTTCAGTCTTGGTGTTGCAGCAGGAGTCAAGGCCAGATGAATTAAATCTCTTAATTTTCCTTTGACAATTGCTTCTCTTCAAAGCAATTGGCTATGTGGGTGTGGTAAACCCATGTATAATTCTGTCCCATTTTTCCGATTTCTTTTGGGAGGAAGATGTCTTTCAACAGTATCTGTAGAATTTGACAATAATTATCCATGGCTATTTGTGCCACCATTTTATTTTATAGATACCAGTGTCCTCTGTTTTCTTGTAATATATTTTACTGATGTGATACATTTCATGTCAAATTGTGTAGGATTAAATAATTTTCAAGTACAATTTTTGTGGTAGGTCTGAAATGGAAATCTAGTGAACTCCCCTTTATAACATGAAGCTAGGGTTTATTTTCCCTTGTAACAAAAAAGATTTTGTTTCCATCATTCACAAGCCATTTTGTCCTTGATCTGTGATCAGTGCCTTTATCAAAAATGGTGGCAAAATGTAAATGTAGGTTTTGTATGTCTTTGGTATTTTCAGTCTCCTATTTTTATGTGACTAAACCACTGCTTGAGTCTTGTTTTGATTTTGGTTTGGGGAGATTTTTTGCTTTGTTTTGGTCATTGTTACTTGAAGCCCAAATTGTATGGACTTTGTTGTTTCTACCTCTTATTGCCATTTTTCCTGAAATTTTAAACACCAGTTCTTCTTTTTTATAGATTCTGTTTATTCCTGTTAGCAGTTTTAGTTGTTTTTTTATCTTGGAGTGTTCTTCTTTAAAAAGAAAAAAGTTTTGATGGCAAGAGATTGAAGATGTAAATCTCTTTTCCACTGTAGTTTGAAGGAATTCATGTCTTATCTCATTCAGAACCTTGAGATTTCGCTACTAGTTCACTTGCATTTTCTGTTCTTGCCTCTTCAAAATACAGAATCTTAATTACAGAGCAGGTTTTGTTTGTTCAGCTATTCGTACTGAAGACCCATACTATTTGTTGAAATGAAATCTAAAATAATAATTGTGAAATCAGTGGGAGTTCAAAAAAATACCCAAGCTGCTTCCTTTCCCTGCTAGAGGATCAATACCAAAGCCTACTTTTTACAGATGGACTAAATTTAAAAATCCTCTGGCAATGCAGGTTCTACAGCTTGGCAAGTTGTACCCACAGTTTCTTGTGGTGTTCGGTGTTTTCACTGTACTTACTGTAGAGAGTTGGTCTTGGTATCTGAGGTGAATTTTGCTTTCTGAAGCTTATTCTGTGCACGATGGGTGATAGACTGTTCTCTTAGAGAGTTTTACGTATTTAAAACATGCAATGCTGTATTCTAAGTCTCTTTCAGCTGCTAACCTGTTTTGTGGAGGAACAGCAGGAGAGTTTTCCACTTCTCTATGTGTTTTGTTGTTTGTTTTTGTTTTTTTTTTTGGTTGGTTGGTTTTTTGTAAGTTTTTTTTTTTTTTTAAGACCTCCAGTAGGTTGGGCCTACCACAGAGAAATACAGCAAAAGGATTAATTAATATGTTTTACAGACTCTTCTTCTGCTTATTTATATCAGTGTGATGATTACAGCATTGTTCACTTGTGTTTTATTTGGGATCTACTGTAATCATTAGATAGATATTGTTCCTTCTTTTTCCTGTAAAAATCAAGAATAAGCTGACTGGTCTATGTGATGTTTTCTTGTTTCAGTGACTGGTAAAGTTAGCTGTCAATTATACCACTCAGGAATATTTGGATTATATAGTTATAGGTCTTTTGTCCTATTATTAATACTAGCGTTTCTCCCCCAAACCAACGTTTCCTTTCATCTGGAAGTTTAAGGTCTGTTATGATTATACAATTTAATAGGTTAACATTGTGATACAGTGCAAGGTTCTTAGTTGTCATACTACAAAAAGTGAAATTCTGAAAATTCTGGACTGTCTTTCTAAATTAGGAAGTGTTGCACAGTTACTATTAGTTTAAAAACCAGTTTTATTTTTAATGCCCAAACCCCTAATTTAAGATACCACTAATACTAGAAGGGCTGCTTGTTCTCAGTTTTTTTATTCTGAAAAGGGAAGAAATGCTGTATTGCAAGTAGCAACATACTCAGCATGATTTCAGCACTTTCTGATAGGTTTTGAAGCTGGGCTGTGGGTTTAATCAGACATCGCTACTTAGGTAAGCAAGCAGAGCAGTAAAAAGAGGTGGAGCAGCAAAGCAGTAGCATTCTCTATAGATGCAAAAGGATAGGCCAGCTATCAGTGATTTTGAACATTTGAGGTTCAAATACAGGAGTATGCTCACTTTGCCTTGACTTTGGAATGGACACCAAAGTATTTTTATGGCTATGTCATCAGGAGATCAAAATAGAGTGTAGTAATCTTTATCTCATTATTCCATTCAAACATTGGTATTGTTAAATATTCAAAGATATTACTGTTTTCATTTTGCTTCTACTACAGTAAAATGAAAACCTCTGAAAGAGAAATGGAGGCCCCATAAAGTCACTGCAACTGCTGTGCCTCGCACAGATATCTCCAGCGCAGTTTTCCTGACATAATCTGACATCAAACAGAAGATAAGGATGCTGCAATCTACTTATTCAGAATGCATTAGTATCACTGAGCCTGTTTCTGGTGCTGTAGAAATCTTTTTGTAGAAATAGGATCCTGGTCATAGGATTTTTGTCTGTTCCATACTGTAGAAAGGGGCTGGAAGGTACTGCCCTTTGACTGTCACATTTCTCTGAGGGGGAAGGTCGCAAATGTTGTTTGCAAGACTTTTAAGTATTTCAGAGACAGAAAGTGCTTTGCAGAATATATTTAACAACCCATGGAGGTTTAATTCTGAAAAGTCTCAGCATATTCTCTTAATGGATAACCAGAAAAAAATGAGGATGGGAG